CCCAATCCAAAAATGGGCATCAGAAATGGATACTTCTCAGATGAAGAAGTACAAAGAGCAAATAAATATATTTTTAAAATGTTCAAACTGGTCATTCAAGAAATGTAAAGTAGAACAACACTGAGATTCCATCTCACTCCAGAAAATATGATTACCATCAAGGCAGTGGGGAAAAAGGAACACTTCTACATTGTTGGTGGGACTGTAAATTGGTACAACCACTGTGGAAATCAGTGTAGAGAGTCCTCAAACAACTAAAATTAGAGTTTCCATTTGACCCAGTGATTCCCCTTCTAGGTATCTTACCAAAAGAGTTGAAAGCATCACACCACAATGATATAGGCACACATGTTTATAGCAACACATTTTTTTGTTCTTCTTTTGAGGTGGGATCTTGCTATGTAGTTCAGGCTGGCCTTGAACTCACTATATAGCCCAGGCTGGCTTCAAACTCATGGCTATTCTCCTGCCTTAGCTTTCTGAGTGCTGGTATACCAGCACAATTTGTAATGGTTAAATCATAGGAACAGCTCAGATGCTCAACAATGAATAAATGGCTTTAAAAAATGTAGTTCCCAAGTTCAATCCCCAGTACCAAAAAAAAAAAAAAAAAAAAATACACACATACAATGGAGTACTATAGTCATAAAGAAGGATAAACTTAAGTACATTTTTAGGTAAATGGATGCACTTGAGAACATAATTTTAAGTGAAATACATCAGACACACGTGTTTAAATATCACACTGTTTCTCTTCTGTGAGAAGCCCAAAGGCTAAATAAAGACAAAATGGATGACAGATATTGGGAAGTAGGAAGAAAACGTTCAAATGGGAATGGGAACAAGGGAGGAGGGACAGGGAAGGGACTAGGGTTTAAAAAAAAGAACGGAAACAAAACAATAGAAACAGTTTTGTAAGGAAACAGGGAGAAGGATTGAAGAGAAGGGAGGGGAATGGAGAAAAAACAAATCAAGATATACTATGTACAGATACAAATTCTTTTTGATGAATGTGATCATTACGTATGTCAAAAATGTTCCAATGAAATTAATTTTAAAAAATAAATCTTTGAAGTCTCACTTAAGAAATCCAGAGTAAAAATCCAACTGAGTCCTGGTTTTCTTTTTCTTTAATAACAAGACGTCTTGTCTGAAACACAGGGAACTATTAGGAAGCATTGAGGAAAGCCAAGCGGGAGGAGCAAGAGGACTTGAGAGGACAAGCAGCTGCCCTGCCCTCTGAACTAGAAAATGAGTTTTCAACCCTTACACAAACACCCATCCATCCACATCACCCAACCATCCCAAAATGGTCTTTGGCAAAGGGAATCCAAGACAAAAATCACAGTGGGTGGCCCTGGGGAGAAGGCATACCAGTGGTGGCTTGTGAAGCTACAAATACACATGAAGGGTTTTCCAGGTCAGATCAAAGGAATATTTGCTCAGCCAGGTCATGGAAAAATAGGAAATCTACCAGCACTGCTGCCTGTTGATGCTCATAGCTCCTGTTAGAAGAGCAGTTGCAGGACATGTGTTGTTAGGTCAGGCCACAGGATGCATGCTGTGGTACTAGGGAGGACTGAAATCCCAGAAATACTCATAGATCTGTAACATGGCTACTCACTCTTCTAAGAGAAAAGAGACAAACACAGGAGTTTGGGGGTGGCGGGAGGCTATGATATCTAAGCACATAAAGTCGATCGCAGTAACCTAAACACCAAAGCTGAAGGTAAAAGAAGTATTTGGTAAGTCTCAGACTCTTCCCCATTACTTATGAAGAAAAAGCTGGCAATTATATTCAGTATAGGACATTAGAGGAGGGTACTGAAAACAGCTTTCAAAACAGCTTTGGAGTAGAGAAAAAAATTTTAAAACCCTCACTGCTTGCAATGCACTGAGCCCTCTGCCACTGCCTCTCCTGAAACGCACAAAGAAATGCACCACCACCTGCAGTTGCTTGGACAGTGGCCCCTGGAAAGATTGCCCACCTCCTAATACTCAGAATTCGTAAACGGGACTTTACGTGGAAAAGGTTCTCTGTGGATCCCAGACTCCTAGGGCAGAGAAGCTCAGCCGGTCCCAGAACCTGGAAGGAAGCTCCCCCGCTGCCACCCCAAGCTCCTAGGGCAGAGAAGGTGAGCTGCACAGGTGCCAGAAGCACCCCCTCCTGTGGAAATGAGAAGACACATAAACTGTCTCAAAAACAGACTTCTGGATCACCTACAGCAACCCCAAAGGGAAATGAGATGGAACAATCTGATACTCAACCACCTGGACTCTCTCAACTGG